GCCGTGCTGGAGGAGGACAGGAAACCCAGGTCCAGGCTGGCCGAGGAGTTGAGTGAGCCCTGGGACTCCCGCCACAGCATGGCGCTCCCACCGCCTTCTCCCCCCTCTAGGACAGACCAGAGTGATGGTGGTGGGGGGCCGCAGGCATCCTTTGGGGGTGACAGCCCCTCTGCCCCACTTGGCACAGCACCTACCTGCCCAGGAGGGCTCTCGCCGCTCTCCCTTCCTGAAGGACCGGCGGGGGCTGCGGTTGGCACCACTGCCCACCGCCTCCACGCCCAGCGGCAGGGACTTGCCCAGCTTCAGTTTTGACTTCTGGGGTGAATGGAGAAGCATCTCAGCACGGGGACATCCAAGGCTGGCCCTTCCCTCTCCCCAGTCCCCTGACCAGCTTGTCTGTCCTCAGCCTGGGGCTGGGTTTGCTCCGAGCAGCGGGGAAGGGACCTGGAACCGTTTTCTCAGGCAAAGGGACAGGCCCCGTCTGTCACTTCGCACCCCACTCACCTTGCTGAGATCAGGGGGGGGGCTGCTGCTGCGGGAGTGGGGCCGCAGGTCGGGCAGGGGCTGCCCCTGGCTCTCTGCCTGCAGGCAGGCCTGGTAGAGCGGGGATTTCACGAAGCGCGTGTAGCTGTCGAACTTCATCAGGTTAAAGATCTGCAAAGGGAGGACGCGTGTGCCGAAGACCCCCGCCCGCCTACAGCTCGCTCCGGCCGCTGCCCCGTGGCGCGGCCCCACGGTGACAGCAGCGATGCTGTGTGATGCGTAGGGTGGTCCCGCAGCCCCCATCCCGTGGGTGGGGTGAAGCACGGGTGCTGCTTGTACCTGGAGCTGCTGGATACGAAACATGTCCGGGGAGGGGTTGGCCAGCATGTCCTCCCCAATCCAGGCCTGTTTGTCAATGTTCACGGGACTGACCGAGTGGCTGGAGAGGAATTCATCGTAGATCCGCCGTGCCTCCTGGGCCAGCTAGGGGAAGGGGGGGGGTTAAGGCTGAGACCAGGAGCCCCCTCCCCTCCCTCCTGGGAGCCCCTGGCTCACCCCACGAAGCCACCTGAGCCCTGAGGGGCCAAGTTCACCCTGGGCTTCAGGATGGGCATTGGAGCCATCTGCCCCCACCCAGTGCCAAGCTCTAGGCACAACACACTGGTCTCTCCATGGAGGTACAGCCCGAGGTGGGAACTGTCCCCTGCAGCTGCGTGGCTCTGTCCCTGTGATCCCCAGTCCAGATCTCTGCCCTTGGTCTCTTTTGTCCTCCCAGCAGCACTCGCCACCCTCTGGCTGCCCCGGGCTGGAGAAGCATGCCCTGCTCCATGGGGCAGGCAGTCCTGGCTGTGGCTTTTCAGATGCACATCACATCCATCTCCTTCCCTCCCACAAGAGCCCCCAGCTTGCTCAGCCTCCCAGAACAGGGGTCTGTCAGGACTGTGGGACATGCAGGCATGACAGCCACCTCCACCTCTGCCCATGTTCCTCCCAGCAGCTGTGTGACCCAGGCTCAGCTGCACCGTGGCTGCACGGAGGCCGGTACCTGCTGCGTGTCGCCGGCTGGGATCTGCTGGAAGCGCTCGCACGCCTGCCAAAAGTAGACGTTTTCAGCGCTGAACTCCTTCTTGAGGAACTCCTGCGGGGCAGAGAGAGCTGCTGGCCTGGCCGGCACTGTGGCTGTGGGATGGGAGCGGGGACTGAGGTCTGGGCTGTGGCACTCACGGTGAAGTAGGTGACAGCCACGCGGTCCTGCAGCAGCGTCTCGAAGGATTCGGCCCAGCTGACCACAGAGCCCTGTGCTGAGCCACAGGTGGCTGGGGGTCCCGGCAGGCTGTTCACACTGTGGTTGCTGCCACGGGCCCTGGAGGCATTTAACTCTGAGAGAGAAAAAAGGTCAGGTCTGGATGCCCAGCGTCACTCCCCGTCACCAGCAGCCCTCTGTACCTGCCGTGAGTTCATCCACCCCATCCCGACCAGAGCCAGCGAGCCCTCAGGTAGGGGACACAAGGAGCACCACAGCGGCATCCTCAGCAGACTGAGGGCTGTGATGACACTTTCTGGTGTGACAGCCCCCCCTGCCAGTGCTGGCTGTCCTCCCCTCCCCAGGGTGTCACCGTGACTCCACCCGTGACTCATCTCCCAAAGGAACAAAGCTGATGCGTGGGGAAGGCACCCTGCCAGGGAGGAAAAGCAGGGTGGAAGGGGACACGGAGGGCACACAGCGTGGAGGGAAGCTTGGAGGATGGGTAGAGGTGGCTGAACTTACCTTCTGCATTCCTCCAGCCATGACAAAGAACAAACCCAGCCAGAGGAGGGCACAGAAAGTGTCATCGCCCCCTCCCAGCCCTAAGGAAACCCTCCCTTGGGGAAACCCAAGGTGACCATGCATTCAAATGGAGTTCCTCCAGAAGTTCCCAGGGACAATCCCAGCTTTTGAACTGGTTTGGCTGCTGAGCAACTGAGAGCAGGGGGTCATTTGCAAGAAAAGGTAAGGGTATGGAAGCAGGACTCTCCCTGCAAAGCCAGTGGGAGCAGAGGAGGCAGCAGGCTGCTGCTTTGCCGGGCTCCCCACTCTTTTCCTCCTGTCCAAAACACGGCATAACTGTGCACGTCCTGCCTGTGCAGGTGGGAACATCAGCCACCAGCACACCGCGCTGGAAGGATCCTGCAGTGGGCCCAGACAGGCGGATGGGCCACCTGAGATATCAGCTGCACAATGAGGCAGACGGACAGTCAGACAGACTCCCCGAGGGAACCTGGGGCTGGCCAATACCCAGGTTCTGCTTGCCCTGGGAAGCCCCTCAGCCCCCAGCACCCAAGGGTGCCAGCTGAGCAGCCAGAAGGGAGGTACAGGCACAATGGGGCCGTGCGGGAGGGATGGCGGGGGGTATGGTGAGTCCCTGGCAGAGGGCTCAGCCCAGCATTGCGGTGGCCCAGCCATGCACCTGCCCATGGCAGAGCCTGTGCTGACACAGGACCTGGCTCTCTGCTGGCTCCTTGCCCCTGGCACCAGGCTGGCTGTGGGCTTCCCCCTCCCCTGAAGACGGTGCTGGCCTCCTGTCCCAGACCAAAGAGCAGCCTTACCTCCATCTGACACAGCCGGGCCCTGCGGGGGTGGAGAGAAGAGAGGTGAGAGGGGCCACACGGCTTCTGCCAGCCCGGTGGAGCGGTACCCGGGCAGGCGGCAGCGTCAGGGCAAGCCCAATCTGAACTCAGGAGCAAGGGACACAGGCTGCTGGCACACACCACTCTGGTGTTAGTTGCCACCGGGACAGATGCCCCATGGCAGAGGGAGGACACGGGGCCCCCAGCCCGGGAGCAGTGAGTTAGAGTTGGGGGGTTACAAGGGGTGCGAAGCTTTTCTCCCACCTCCCCTGCATCTACTGCCCTGGGGCCAGGCCAGCAATTGGGAAAGGGCAGATGCTATCAGACGAAACCTTGCCACGGCTGCCCGGGGAGGAGAGAAGCAGCCTCCCCAGCACAGGAAGAGGAGGGGAGGAGGGGAGGGAAGGAAGGACAACCACAGCCCTAGGCAGGCAAACTGCCTGCTCCCTCCTTCCTTGGGGCCTGGGGCTACTGGAGGGCAGATGCCTAAAACCAAGGACCAGGTGCTGCCAGCCTAGGGCAGAGCAGGTCAGGGTGCCTTGCAGCAACCCCTGGGC